ATTTCCAGAGTAGGACCGTGGACGTGGTACATTCCCAGACGTTTCGCCGGCATCGTAGTCGACATCGTCAATGAGTCTCGCCATTCTTAGCACCACACAACAACTCGTCAAAGAAACAAGTGAAGCCAATTTTTTGACCAAACGTGTGCGATAGAAATCAACAAAGCAGCCAACAGCATGAATGAAATGGATAAGTGTAGGAAATTTGGTGGACACTACTTGTGGCTGTTGGATATGATTAGTGAGAAGGGGAAACGAGAATTATCACTGAACAAGAGAAGGCTTGATTAGGCTAGAATCTGGTTTTTACTCTCATATAACATTCATTTTAAGAACAATTCATTTATATAACACGCGTGCAATGGAACGCAATCGCATGCTGTAACATGACAGGATCAAAGGCATACGTGATTTAGGAGAGGACGTAGCACCCGTTTCACGTTTCATCGGCACCCATCCACAGCCAATCAACTTAATTTTTGTGCAAACATTTAGGAAAAGCATAGGATATCTAACCAAAACATGAGATCGTAGATATGAAGACCAAGAAGCTGTTGCCTTCTATTTGGTCGCAGTCTTTTTTAGCCTTAGCGTTGGCTCGACCTTGTTTTCGTAACGTAATCGGAGCGTCGGGGAGACCTCGTGGAACGTACCTAGTCTCGTATCCTGTCATAGTTTTCCTGATTTTCAGCATTGGACCATTGACTGGGTACATTCCCGAACGTTTCGCCGGCATCGTCAGTGAGAGGTGCTATCGTAAGCACAGTATTACAATTTATCAATTGGGTTATAAGAAGTAGGCAGGTCTGAAGCCGGCCACCTTACTTGCCTTCGTGTCTTTTGGTGAACTATTGTTAAGCATGGTTTCGTGATTTGACGATGTCCGTCACACGAGAGCCGAAATCTCAGCAAGGATTCATTGGAGTCGTAGGACAGTGCGTCAAGGACCTATTTGCACAAATCTACAATCAAAGCTTCAAGGCAATCACCCTACAGCTTCCGGTGGAACCAGCTTACAAAACCCTTCCGATAGCCTCTTCAAACGAAGTGAAAGGTACTCCAGCATCAATCTATTAAGGGATTCTTCAAAACTCAGTTTTCCTACATAACATTTCAAAGTGCATGACAGTAAAACAGTTATTCAAAATCAAGAGAAAACTTGAGTAGACGGCGAATACCGCTCTAAATTAAAAGTAAAATAAAAGCACATTTCGCACAAATCTATGGAAAAGTCTGCAGAAATTATTAAAGGTTTCAACATAAATATGAGAATTATAAATACTTCAAGGGAAAATATTCAAAGAGGTTTTTGATGGTAGAATTTTACCCAATATTCAACCTTCTCAAACTAAGACACTCCCATAAATAATTCATGTGGATTTTATATAAGACAGACGGTCCAAATGAATGAATTTCGTACAAATTAAATCTGAAAGGCATATACAAAATTAGCGAATGTCTACGATTTGTTGTCGAATTATTCTTCAGCATATTAGCAAGATAGTCAAACTACACACGATTAAATAAAGAGAAAATTTGATTTTTTTTTCTATTGAGTTTCACTTCATCATCATTTTAAAAGGCATCCAATCAATTCTATAGTTTACTAATATTACAAATTTTCATACATTAGTTTATGCTATTGCCTTTAGATACTAGTCAGTCTGCCAGAATCATGAAGTTTCCACGTTTACACCACCAACTGCCACAAATGACAATTAGGATAAGGATAAAAATTTATCCTGGATCTTTCTTGATTCAGAAACCAAGGCGATCTTGAGGAAAAAGATAAGTCTGTCGCTTCACAATAAAAGAAACGCTTCAGAAGATATTCTTGTGGAGGATGCAAATATCAGGGATAAATTACCAGAGAAGCTAAATAAGAAATAGAGAGTAAAATTATCCAAACTGAAGCAGATTAATGAGAAGACTCAGAAAATTGCAAATGAGTGACTAGGTTTATAAAGAAAGAGTAACAGTGGTAAATATCAGAAAACATTACAATGAGAAATCGGAAAGGCGTTCTGGGACAGAAGAACCGATCGAATACTAAAGGTGGATTCAACAATAAAGATCATCGCAATACTAAAGGATAAGCTGAAGGTAGTGCAAGCGAACAGGGAAATCGATGTATTACTGATGAACTCGATAATAAGAAGGGACACGAGATTACTGAAAGGTGGAGTGATAGTTAACAATAAAATAGAGACTATAAGAGCTTTATCTAATGCTATCGGTAAAAAATTAGACTTTACTTGATAGTCCTAAATTTTTTAGACCTTTTGCTCACCCATTGTTATGGTTAGTAGCTTTACTATGTATGGTTAAATTGGGGCAAGATTTTCAACAAATGGTATAAAACTAAATAAACTCTGCACCTGTCGCCTGAATACCAAATGACCTATGAAGATTAAATCTATACGTAAGTTTAATTTCAAACAGTACGAAAAATGACAAAATTTAAGATGTTCACAAGCCAAAGTAATACTGAGCCAGCCAAAATGTAAACGCTAGTTTCAATTACCTCAATAATAAATGAAACTTGGTCGTAATATCGTTAGAAGTATTACGCTTAATAGCCACGTAAATAAAAATGTTCTAGGGTAAGAGTTATCTTTAGGGGAAATAAGTTGGTAAAGCTGAAGAGATTTGCCTACCAAAATTATCAAAGTTCTATGATTTTGAACCAAACTCAGTCGATATCTATGGAGAAAAGATAAGCTATGCTATCTTATCAGAGCGAATGAATTGTTTTTTGTAAAAGCTAGTCTCCTCAGGACCTGTTATTCGAAATGTTCACAGTGAAATGAGTATAAATTATCCTCATATAATTTAAAAAACAACAAGACAATTCTTCCATAAAAGCTTAATCGTCCAGGGTAGACTTTAAATTAAACCACGCCGGGGTCTCGTCGGAATCCCACCTGAAATTGGGTAACGAAGTAGATGTGACTTTAAAGGCAAGCCATGCTTCATTTATTCACCTGTACTGAATAAGTCGAAATTGAATTCGCAATCGAATATGATAATGTTGCAATACCAATTAAGAATGCCCGAAACTATCAAAAAATCTAGTGGAATCTTTAGTATTAAAGTATAATCCAGCTTCAAATGTAGGTTTTCGAGAGTAACAGTAGATCATATACATGAGATGTATTTGGCCTCAGTGGGACTCCAATGTGGTAATGCAGCGTATAACCTCGACACATTAACCACTACGCCACATTGCCACGAGCTCCCTTGGGTCACAGGGCAGAAGTGATTTTCAAGGAGGGCCAGGCGTCCTCTGCTATAAAAATTATGTGATGGGATTGTCGATGAAGCAAAGTTGTGTTTGTCATAGTAATCGAGTACATTACTTATTTTTCGTTTGTAAGTAGATTTTTGAGATTAACACAGGATCATATATACGAGATAAATACATCCCATCTCGATAACGTGATATAGGAGTGGCAATTGAATGCGGTAAGGGAAAATGTCTGGCCTTACTTGAAATCCGCATCTGCCATGTGGCCCAAGGGCAAATGTCATAATTTGGCATAGTGGCTAACGTGTCGAGACTATACGTTGCACTAAACGAGTTAAAGTCCAGTTGGTGATGTTGATGAGAGCTAGGCGAGGTCAAAACCGCAGTCCACCTTTTGGGAGGCAAGTCTAAGTGAAATTCAATATAAACATAAGGTCTAGTCATAGCATTGTGAGAAAATTCAACTGCCAGTCTTTCATTATTTTAAACTAAATAGTTTTTCGATACTACCACTGGACCATATATATGAGATAAATGCATCCTATTTCGATAAGGTAATGAAGGACTGATAGTTTAATATGATATGGGAAAATGCCTGGCCTTCTTTGAAATCCGCGAATATTTCGAGAGTAGAGTTTTTTATTCTTACGTTTACCATTCTCAGATAATAGCCTTCGTGGACAACACTGAAATATGACGTAGAAGTTTAGTATAAATATTTCGTTACTAACCACCAAGAAATGCAATGAGCCTTCAATATATCCCAGTTATGCATACCTACCCTCCACCTTGAAGATTTATAGAAAACTAATGCTGTACAAGAGACATTAAATATCCAAGTCAATTCTTAACTAGATAAAACCTGGATTAAAGTGAATACTTCTGAAGCGTCTCTATCAAATCATATAATATAAAGGAATAAGCCTTATTACATTGTTGAAACCCTTTCTAACCAAATCATTGCCATTTAAGTGTGCCGATTTTTTTTCATTGGTTAGCTCCACTTAGCATCTATGGGTAAAATATTTGAAGCCAAGAATAACTTAGTTCATCAGATTAAGTCAAACAATGAGCCATAAATCAGTAATTATAATTTCTATTTTCGTGGTGATAAATGGGAATCCAGTGATGATTAAATAAATGGATTCAAGGAATTAAATCGTCTTTGAAATTTTGTCTGCACATCATCAAGTGGCCTTATATAATGTTGCCTAGTCTCATAAACAAATAAAGGACCACCAGTGTATGAACTACAATTTGGTTAAATACACAGTAAAATATGTAATTAGATGGCCGTGGATAATAAGATTTGCCAAATTACTGAGCTAAGACCATAGTGTGCAAATAGAAACACAGTACTTGGAAAGCAATCTCAAAATAATCCCTGGAAAATTAGTCTTACAAGTTGAGGTTGTACTATCTGCTGCTGAAACAGAGACTGTGGTTGCCGTTGACACAAATGCTGCCTTCCGCCAGTTTCTGATTGCCAATTAGTATTATTGTTGGGCATTGGAGAGGCTAATGGACCTGCCGGTGTCTGGTAGCAACTATTAGCCATTAGTCGAGAGGCCGCCGCCATTCCAGGCAGCTGGGAGCCTACCAAAATTGGAGGAGGAAGATGTAGATTTCCATGAAGACAATCTCCATTATTAGGGCTTGAAATGAGAGCCGAGGGGCTTGCAGATGGGATTTCACGTAAATTTAAGCAATGAGAAACAGATACTGGGGCGGAAGTGGGATTAATCGGCATTCCAGTCTTCGCGGGGCCAAGTGAACGTCTAGTCCCACAGCCCAGAATACTTGATTGAAGGCGGTTAGAAAACGCAAGAGCCACGGCAGCGGCCGAGCTACCTGATAGAAGACGAAGACGGGGTCCATGGCCCAGGCGTAATGTATCCCCTGGAGCCAGGAATTCAGTATTCGATGAAGACAAGCCATCACCATGTTCCTCTTTCCCGGATCCATCGATCGACCGAAACTGCCGGATACACAGTGGCCTGTCGTTCAGAAAGACATACAAATGACCATTTGAATCTGAATCACAGGGCATACAGGCTAACCAGGGTCCAGGTCCCGAAAGGGAACCAGAAAGGCTATCCGTCTCGGTGTGAAGAACATTCGCATTAGAGTGACAAGGCCGCCAGATTAGTAGGTGATGGCCAGCCACGCCAGGCCAGCAATTCGCTGGCAAGGTCACCATGACGCCAGGCTGATAAGCTGAGTCCAAGAAGGGAGAAGTGCCAAGACATACCTGGAAATGAAGTATGAAACACAAAAGAGTATTATTAGTCAACGTAGAAAAGCATAGTACTAATGAAGATACGGAATTAAAAAATTTCCCAATGGATGAGGTGGAAATAAAGTTTATAAATATGAAGAATAACAAGAGTTCGATGAATTCGCCAAAATAGCACTGTTTGGAGGACTTTCATTACGTATGAAAGTGGATGATGAAGAGACATTTACAAAAATCTGTTTCAGCTCTGGTGATGTCCGTCTTATGATGGACGAAAACTCAGCCCGTTTTCATCTGAAACGATGGAGGATGCCTCGTGGACTGTGTCAGCCTGAACGTTGTATTAAAGCCAGTAGGCTGCAGTGCAATGGGAATTAAGCGTCGTCCTTTGATGAAATCGACCTACTAATCTCTTCATCATGCACTTTCATAGGATATGAAATTCTCCCCAATAAAGTTTATAACCTCAAACAAGCAAAGTAGGAAGCAATTTTGGTATATCTATGGATTAGTATGAAGTAAAAAAGCAGAAAATAGTATAGCCTTAAACAGATAATCTATTGCTACTTAATTAGGATTAACTATAACGTAAGCTTTTGACTGAATTTAGTATCACTAAGAGAAAAGATGGTTCAATTAAATATTAGCAGAGTTGGTAAAAACAATAATGGAAGGCAAACCCAAAATATGCTATCTGCCCCTTTAGTCTACTTATAAGCATGAATCTATGTTTAAAAACTTTGATGAAAAGAATTTATCTTGGAATCCTCAATCAGAGTTGGAAAATAAGTTAATCAACTGCAGAATAAGCAATATATTAACGTGCACTATCAGGCATGTCATTAAGCGTGAACATAAAACGATCCCAATTTATTATGCCTACCTTACTGGCACTTAAATATACATAAAGATTTATGGGGGGTTTTACAAACCAGGTAAATAATAGCACTTTCGTTTTCTCTCACGGGGAGAAGGAGATATGGAACATTAACTTAAATATAAGAAAATAAAGCCAATTCGGGCAACTAAGTATTATGATGACTTCATATGTTCGTTTTATAAAATGCTGGCACGCAAGTGATTGCCTTCCACCGCTAGGTGCCTGTCTCTGTTATATGTAGCAATGACATGTATGGCGGAATTAGGTCATTTGCAGACCCAATATCAGACTGGATAGTGCTATTCCAAACTATCTACGCAGATATGGGTAATTTAGAAGCTACCTTAGTGTGATCGTCGAGAAAAATTATCTTCTAAAGCAAAGGGCAAGATTGGAAAGATCGAGGGGCTGTCCGAATTATCGAGTAAATACTTATATTAGCCAATAACAATATTTTTTTTTATTTTTTTTTATTTTTTTTTACATTCTATACAATACATTTAAGAATTAATTAACAGGGCCTAGAATCTATTTCATACTTATTTTGCAAAGTAAATAATTAAAAAGTTAAGAAAACATAAAGATTAAAAATAAAAATTATCATTTAATGCTGTAATCACGAATGAAGCCATAAAAATATCTACAGCTGTTCTATTGTATACAAAATAAAAGAGGCAAGTTAGGACGAGAAGTACACTAATTAGCAACATAATTATGGCTCATTCAATAATTTGTACTAAACAACGATAATAAAGGCGGGATTAAGGGAATAATTCCATGATGCTTTTAGTTAGCATATTGCAAAAAAGAAAGAGTGATAGAGACTTTTAAATCTGTAATAAAATATTATAATCTTAATTACATTTCATTAGGATAATAAAAATTAACATATTTGTCTTATGGATCAGGATATAAAAGGTAGGAAAGCAATGGTAAATTAATAAATTCTGTTCCTATCAGTTTGCTAGAGCTCAGATAAGATAATCGAGTATGTATGAATCTT